ATGTCATCATTCCTTGGGATGGATTATCAGGAGAGACGTGAACCTGACCTGTCAATTTGGATACATGTATCTATGTATCTACGATGTTGTTAAGTGCCACTGACTTGGTTCCCACTTGTAAGAACCCTGTATAGGGTTTCCTAGAAGCAGCTGGTGGGTCTGAACTGCCAACCTTGTGGTTTGCAGTCCATTGTTGATCCTACAGTACCCACACCATGTATTCGTCTCCGTGGATTAATATTTTCATTTGACAACTCATTACATTTTATAGAAAACATTGCTCTCTAGAGCCTTTGTCTAAAAAAATCAGTCTCTTTTTTCCAGTTTAAAAATCTGATGTATTTTGTTGGGTGCATATGCTATCTAAAAAATTAAAAAAAAATCAGGGAATATTTTATTTTTTGCTATACTTGTCTTTTGCATTGCTACAAAATGGTAGTGATTCTTTTGTATTTATATGAGAGCTAGCTAAAATGTACTAATAAAAGAGAAGAACATTAATGTTATACTTCAACTCAACAAGTATTTATTGAATGCCTACTATGTGCCAATCAATGTATGAAGAAAAAGGGTCAGTAAGAGCAGAGCAGAGTAAAATTAATTAGTAAATCATATATTTGAAAGCAAGAAAGGTAAAAGGAGAAACAAAATCTAATGAGATAACTGTTGAAAATGTATTTTTATGCTTTATTGTATGAGAGTTGTTTTATGGACAAGAAAAAGAAAAGAAAAAATTGAAATAAATCTAGTTAAACTTCAGAGCATGACCGACAAGAGCTTAAGTATGTTTCTTATGTGTGTTTGTGTGTGTATTTCTTTTTAAGATCAGAACTTATGCAAACTCTACTGTATCGCTGAAGGATTTGATTTCTTCTTTTCTTTGTCAAATAAAGTCAAAGATGGGACCCCATGCTCGGAGGATAGCCGTAATGTTTGTGTAGATGGGATATGTGAGGTAATAATGATCCTTCATTCATTCAACAAACATTTCCAGACAGTCTACTTTGTGCCAGGCACTATGTATGGGGCTAGAGACACCATATAGACAGGTAGACAAGGCTCTTGTCCTCCAGGTCTGAGCCCGGTGGGGGAGCATGTACAACAGATGTTTTGATGGAGAAGGAGAAGGGCACCGTTAATACATCTTAGGTGTGGGTGTGGGAGATATTTGTGGGCTCCATGGAGAGAGGACCATCTGAGCTAGATCTGCAAGGGTCAGTTAGGGAAACTGGGGTGAAATGGACACAGTGGTGAGTCATTAGAATACCCATAAATCAGGCAGGAGCATGAGGACTTTAAGGGATGTGAATGGGGACCATGAAGCAAGTGAAGCCTTGCTCTGCAAAGCCCTCTCATTGTGAGGAACAGGTGTTGCTATGGGTGTCCTCTGGTACCTGAAGAAGAGGCCTTGAGTTTGGGATGATGGCATCTCAGGTTCAGATTGAAATAATGGAATAACTGGACAGTATCATGGAGAATCAATGAAGACAGGAGAGATCAGAGCCTGGAGGCCCATTTGAACCTATTATGGTGGCCTCAGCACCTTGGGGTTCAGTTGGGTGGAGAGGGAGTTGAGAGATTGGTTAGGAAAGACTTTGCTGTTAAGGAACATACAGTGATGTGGTTAAGCTGATAGAAGAATAAGGAGAGATCTTATGCGCTCAGTTCTGACTCGAGTCCATTGTATGGAAACCATGGGGTTTTTTGAGGAGGAAGTTATTTAGTTGACATTCATGGAGTCAGCGAACCACAGTCCTGGTCGCTCTAACTGGTTGCAAAGCTGTGGTGAAGGTCGGTCATCCACTAAACCCTTTAGTGTAATCATTTATAGCGCATGCGTGATAGACTAGGTGAGCCTTTTAAGATCTCTCTCAGCTTTCCAATGCTCACATCTTTGCCTTTTTGTCTAATTATGAGTTGATTTGTGAAGTATTTCATTGATCCTGATTGTATTCTCATTGAAACAGAATTGCAATCCTTTATCTCTAACTCGGAAATCCCAAAAGCTCTGAAACGCAACATTTCGGGGTGGGGGGGGGGGATTCATTTGACCATATTAAATATAAGCTGATCTGATTTTGTTTGGTGGCAACAATCTGGCCTGAAATGCTAGGAGCCTAGTTTGTGGGCCTCGCTTATTCCACTTAGTGTGAAGATACACACATCTTCTACACAAGCATGAGCATGTGTTATTATGGGATGCCACCCTCAGATCTGTTGGATACTCCCATGAAACATAGACTTTTCCAAAAGCCAAAACACTTGTCTGAATGAATTAAAAGTTATCCACAAGGCATTGTGGACTCTAGTGAGTTTGAAGAGATTCTTTTTGGACGTTTTACAGAGTACACTGTTTGTTGAGGGGTCCTGGAGGTAGAACAGTGACGTGTGAGGCTGCTGTTAGAGAGAACACTGTTTGGTCCTACTAATAGCTCTGCAGGAGAAAGACCTAGTAATCTGACCCATGAATTTAACAGCCTACAAAACCCTCTGGGGCAGCTCTACTCTGTCACATGGGGTAGCTACGAGTCAGAACTGACTTCGTAGCACCCAATAGCAACACTGAGCTCCGGCTGGATGCTCACAGAGTGTGTATTATATGCAATATAGAATATGTATTACTTTATAAAGAGCCCAAACACTCTGAAATTATGAACTACATCAAGGTTGTGAACAAGGGAGTGTGAACTATAGTTATTTTGTGTTTGAATGGACTTTTTACATTTGATAGAGTACTACTCTTGTCTAAGGAGCTCTGGTAGCGTAGTGGTTA